CTTATTCCGTCACAACGCATGAAATGACCCTCATGGTGACTTCGCACAAAAAAAACAACATGCAAATCATGAAAATGGCAGTTAATGTAGGGGTGTATAAAAGCCCATGTGCTTTCGTATTATATTCATTCATTTGTCGCCGAAAAGCTGTGTTAAAAATGCCACGATTGAGTGCTGCCGACCGAAATATCGCCATTGGTCGTGTTCAAGCCGGAGAAAGTTTTGGAACTGTTGCACGGCACCTAAATGTTCACAAAACAACGATATCCCGACTTTGGAGCCGCTACAACAACTTCAATTTGACCAACGATCGCCCGAGAAGTGGAAGGCCAAGAATCACGACCCCCCTTCAAGATCGGTACATCCGGGTCCATCACCTGCGTAATCGGCATGCCCTACCAACCGTGACTCCCACACAAATACCAGGTTTGAGGAGAGTGTCAGCTCAAACGATTAGGAACCGTCTGAAAGAAGCGGGTTTACGTGCCTGTAGACCAGTTGTTGGACCTGTACTACGCCCCCTACATCGACGCCGACGACTCAGGTGGTGCAACAACGTAAGAATACGGACTTTACAAAACTGGAGGCGAATCTGGTTTTCTGATGAATCACGTTTTTTCTTTGCAACGTCACGACGGAAGACAGCGTCTGTATAGGAGACGTCATAAACGTTTTGCGCCCATCTGCGTCCGACAGGTGGACAGATTTGGCGGAGAAAGCGTCATGGTTTGGGGAACCATCTCATACAACCAGAAATCAGACTTGGTGATCGTTCCAGGAACCTGACAGCCCAACGTTACATCAACCACGTGTTAGAGCTTCACCTTCTCCCGATTATTGACCAACAGACACAGATTTTCAACGGGACAACGCCCGGCCTCATACTGCACGTGCAACAATGAACTTTCTGCAGAATTCCAACGTCAATGTCTTGCCATGACCCTCTAAATCACCAGACCTCAACCCTATTGAACACCTGTGGGATACTCTGGATCGACGCGTACGTCAACGTCAGCCGCCGCCACAGACGCTGCAACAGCTCGCCGTTGCACTGCAGGAGGAGTGGAGAGCCATTCCCCAGGAAAGAATCCGGCGTCTTATCCGTTCTTGTCCAAGGAGATGCCGTGCAGTGATTGCAGCGCGTGGTGCTCATACGAGATACTGAGAAAGACGCCCCCCTGGTGACAAACTGGTGTCTGTGAGATGACTTTTGAAATGACAATTTTAAACATGCCCATCTGGGTTATTATTCTGCCAAATTTCAGACTTCTGTCTTAAATAATAAAAATGCCGTGTCGTCCTAAAACTTCAGATCAAAATCTCTAAAATACAGGGGTTGCGTTTCTTTTTTGACAGAGGTTATTTTATAAATAAAATGTATGTGCCAAGAACGATTTCATGCCTTTTTAATGGAGAGGATGTAATTCCATAAGGACTCAATATTCAACCGTTTATCAGCTAAAAACTGAAGTATATCCACACCATTTACTTGTTGTCATTGTCGCTATATATAGCTCCCACCAGCGATGACACTTGACCTCGCTCCCTGGTTACTTTACCTCATATCTCCCTCGTCAGCTTGAACAACTGTGGCACTGATCCATCTGATGACTTTAGAAATGTTCAGGTGGGTTCACTGTTGGCTCTTCTGTGAGCATCCCTTAATGAAAAACGTTCTGGGTAATAAGCATTTCTAATGCCCACACAAGAGGCGAAACGTGCTGGTATATTGTCAGATGATACTTGTGATACCTTTCTCCATGGTTCTCTTCAGTTGATTTCTCTTTTATGTTAAATGTACACTGATGATATCAGAAGTAATCAGATCGATTGACCTTGGGGTGGCACTGTTCACGTTCATAACTGGTTTCCACGTTAAGTACGGATATGTCTAAACAGATTTTAATTCTTGGTGAAAGTATGTTTGCACACATGACAAACATCGCAAGTAGAGGATGAAGTGCTGTTTGAACAGAGTGTGAGGTTGTCAGCAATTAGTTGTATCCGCCTCGACATCGGTATCGTCAGTACAGGTGTTAGCCTCGGCCCACGCGTCCAACCCGTCTACCACACCGGTAGATCGAATACACATAAATCCAATTCCCACGCAGGAAATATAACTTAAAGTAATGATCAATCTACATTGATAGCAATTGAATTATATACTTGGATTATACCAATGACCTACGATCATTTCCTAGTGCGTGCGTTTATTTGTATGCAACGTAAAACACAACTTTGCAGATTCTGATACCTTTCGGTATGGACATACCGAAACAAATCGTCAAAAATGGAAATTCAACTTATAAAGTTGAAAAATAACGCGATGAAAAAAACGCGTTCAAACGTTTCACTAATTTTCCCCCGACTTTTCTGGGGAAAACGGGTTTCAACAGCTGGGCTGCGCTCATAGCATGTGCGCAGTGAAATAGGTTCGCGCAGCTTGGAAGCGGGTTGTTGGGTGAATACTCGGTGAAGGCTTTGGTGTGAGCTAATGTTTTGTTGATATCTCACAGGCGCGAGCTTTTTATATGTTATGACAGTAAATTAACTGTTTATATAATTTCATTTGTCTATTTCACCACACGTTCTTCTTACCGAGACACTTTCTCAGTTCGATACTTAAAAGCAATGTCATTATTTAGCGTTGACACAATTTCTAACTGTGATATAGATATGTCGTTGTCACAGACTAAACTCAATGTCTTGTTTTATTGACACCTGTGTGTCTGCCTGCCTGTCTGCTCATGACAATATTCAATACACAACTGCGATCACTGACCACATGCAATTTGAACTCAACACCAATCAGGCTATACACCATAAACAAAACGCATTGATTTATGGCCCGAGTTCGGTCTCTGTCACATTATGTAATTACACAGACAGGCAGGTGTGATACTTGAACACATGACATGTTATGATGTCTGTTGATTGCAAAATGTTATACACAAAAAAATGAGCATGTATTTACAAAACCCAACATCTCTATATATACACACACAATGAGCCATGAAGGCGTCATCTGCTAATGAACCAGCCGTTACACTTGAGTGCACACCCACCCGCTCTGACTGGGTTCGGTATCCCGGCTGCTTCGTTTCGAGGGAGGTAAACCCAAGTACAAAATATTGCACTTTTGATTTGCGATTATTCGCTTATAATTTTGTTTATTTGTTTTTTCATAATCAGCAATGCATATTATATGTCATGAAGAAGTGATAATTGTGTTTTAATTATGTTTGATTTTTTGGTTGCATGTGACCTTTAATATTGTAGATGTTGAATTTACTTCAGTAAACACAAAGAGGTCGTATTGTTTTTTATGGAAAAAGAGTCCGCTTATATAAAGTAAGCCTCGACTGTTCGCAGTTGATCAACTGACGTAAGAAGGTTATATAAGGCTATCGTTCATATATTTAGTTCATTTGAGAAAGCAGTCTGGTTGTATTAAAAGACGACAATGTTAAAAAACAGGAACGCAGTGGGAGATGTGACTGGTTTAGTAGTGTTAGACAACAATCAAACCTGTACACCGTCTCAACAGCAGACTCGCCTATGCTGTTCTTGCAGTTCACAGCATGCTTGAACCCGATCGCGATAAAGTAAGAACATATGCCTCGTAAGTTTAACCTTCATCGACTTCATTGGTTCTACTGGTGATGCTTACTCTGTTGCTGTGAGATATAGGATCTTAATGTCGGTAGTTGCTAACTTTGTTTATTGTTGGAGTTCGAATTAAATACTTGATCTATATTTAGATTTGGATTTGCCCCGATTAAACGTAGATTTGGGATAGTACCACACCTCGAAGTAAGAAGATGATCCGCTGTTTTGAAAACACACCTCATGGGAGGCCACGTATCACGTGACGCACGTTAACCAATAAGAAAGCTCATAGCCCTGGCGTAGAAAACCGGCATTTTTCTATCATCACCGGCTGATTTTGGTCCCTTTGTATTCGTCGTTCTTTCTCTTCCCGTGCAGCATTTCGGCGGGCAACAACGTGACGTCGCTTCAAACAAAGTCTCCAAACAGATGATAGTGTGTTTCGGTGAACCTTTCTAATGTCTGTCAACATTGTTTGCGACATTACTGTTTGCAACATAGTCATGGCTCGAAGGCGTTGATTTCCAGCCAGCTATGACAATGAGTTATTCAAGGGGAGATATAAGTGTATTTAATGTTACGAAAGATAACCAGGAGACAGTAGATATCACTGAATTATTTCATGCAAGTCATTTACCAGTAACTTGTGCCAATATTCGAGAAGCAACAGAAAAGACCCAACACTATCAGTAGTGTACGATGCCATTATGAATGGTTGGGACAGTGAACATGTGACAAATGAGAGTTTACAGCCTTTTACAACAGGAACTCACTATTCACCAAGGTTGCATCCTATGGGGAATAAGAGTGGTCATTCCATTGAGGCTGTGCGATACAATTCTGCATGAACTTCATTCTGGGCACATGGGCATCGTCAATTGCTAGAAGTCATGTCTGGTTGCCCGGAATTGACCGCGTCGTTGAAAATATAGTACGGACGTGCAACTCTTGTCAACAAGTACAAAACATGCCTAAAGAATCAACTACACACCCATGGAATTGGCAGTCGGCTCCTTGGAGAAGGATTCATCTGGATTTTGCTGGACCTTACTTAAATCACATGTTCCTGATAGTCGTTGACGCATATTCAAAGTGACCGGAAGTCGTGAAAATGAACTTGACAACTGGAGAACATATAGTTATAGCCCTGCGGAAGTTGCTTTCATGCTATGGACTACCTTCAACAATTGTTACAGATAATGGACCACAGTTTACAGGTGCAGTTTTCGAGCAATTTCTGAAAGAAAATTGGGTGAAACACATATTTTCAGCTCCATACCATCCGTCTACAAAGGGACAAGCAGGGAGAGTTGTTCAAGCTTTCAAGAGAGCTATGAATGCAGCAATGGGATTCACACACAGTTGAGAAAAAGTGTGAACAATTTCTTTCGATGTACAGATCTTCTCCACACTGCACTGCAGGGGAAACACCAGCAAAGTTGTTCCTTGGTAGGGAACTCAGGACTCAGCTTGACTTGCTGAAACCAGATCTGCACAAGAAAGTAACAGATTCACATGAGAACAAAGCAAGTGACACAGCAAGAACATTAAACATAGGTCAGAAGGTATGGACCAGGAACTATTCTAACAATGGCGAAAGATGGGTGTTCGGCACAGAGCGTTCGGAGTATGGTTTTAAACACTACGTCATCGAAACAAGTCATCAAATCATCAGACGACATATTGACCAGATCAGAGAAGGGGCTGATGAAGTTAAACCAGTTTGTGAACTGAACACTCAACCAAACGCTGATGTCACCATGACCGATAAAGGTGACTGCCCGGTATCAAGCTCCAGTCAGCCCGATCACAGTGATGTACCGCCTCACATCCAGGACTCTAATTCTATTTCAGGGAACTGCAGCCCTCCTGCGCCTGGTGGAGTGGTGTCCAGTGTTCCAAACACATTGCGCCGCTCTACGAGGATTTCAAAACCACCTGAGAGACTGAATCTGTAAATTGCTAGAGCAAGGCATTTAACAGTTACATATTTCTCTGTGCAGCCAGACCAAGCAATTTTTGCTGTAATAATGTTTAATAGTTGGATAGTTTAACAGTTTAACTGTTTAATATTTCTCTATGCAGCCAGACCAAGCAATTTTTGCTGTAATGATGTTTCATATTGCAGTTTGAATTCATAGCTATCGCTTTGATCAATATTTAGTTCAAGAATATGTATATTTGTATTGAACCGTATATGAACCACAGTTCCGTCTCCGTAAGTGTCGTGGTATATAATGTATAATGTCGATACTGAGGGAAAGATAAGGAATTCTATTTCCAGCGTCAGAATGAAGCCTGGTTACAGTGCTATTGTCGGGCATTGGTTTTTTTTATATGCTTGAGAACACAAAAGAAATAGCTAATGTGCAAGCCATGACGCGGTAAACCTACGAGCAGTAGTGTGCATGCTCGATGGGCCACGTGGGCTGGAATATGGATCCTCCTGGAATATTGCATCACCACCGTCATTGTGCAATCTTAACTCCAGTTTTAGTGTTGGTAATTCTCATTACGGCTAGGTTATTGTCTTGTTTTTTGTTGTCGCTCTTTGACGATTTACAGGACTTTTTGGGACTGATCACAACTCACCGTGTAATAAAATGTGTAGAAAACACTTGGGACGTTTCTTTTTATGCCTCTCCTGTTATCTAGCTAGAACTGTTAATAACGCTCCTGTCTTGAGACAATCTACACATACTTTATGCACCAGTCTTTGGCTCGTATATGAACAAGAAACACGTGCAATTTGGGGCGAGACTTTGTTATTGACACTCTAGGGCATAATGACTCTCAAAAGTGAAAATTAAGACGCATCATGCCGTCACTGTTGAAAGTAATATTTATTTGTGAAGGGGTGAGGCGTTCTTTAGCTCTTTCATAAGGCTGGTTAAGTTCATCAAGCCCGGCATGAATAGCCAATTTTTACAGCGCTTAGACTCGAGCCTAGAGAGTGTGATCATTAAAATTCAAAATAAGAATGGTGCGATCTAGACTGCACCAATTTTGTCCTTCTAAGAAGACAGCTGTGAGCCTCTTCTTTAGTGATGTATTCCTAACAACTACTACTGCTAGACAAAGTTATAAATCCACGAGGGATCGAAATGTCCATTACACGGAGAGTGATATCAAATATCAAAGACTTTGATATAATAATAGTCGTCAGGCATAGGTTGTGCTGGAGTTCGGCTTCAAAGAGGCGCTACATCACCACAACGACAATTAGAAAGTCGACGTTGGCAGGCGCTGCACCACCATCTCTTTCTTTCTCGCTAGATGGTGAGCGTCACGCGAGGCTTAGTGAGATTCGACAGGCGACATATTCATCAGAACAAGAGCAAGGAGGAAAGCCATCGTTGTTTGACTATACGTTTCCAGTAACATGAAGGAATGATTGGTAATCAGTCCCCATCAATCATCTTGTCTTAGACATTCATAATTACTTGATGCTAAATGCTACACAGAATCTGTATTCAGGCCAGTATTATGTCCATATGTTCACTTGTGATAAATATGTCGGTTTAGAAAGGTAACTACACAGCAAGCTGCCTTAGCGCCCAAGTCGGATCAGGCCTTCCAAGCGCCTTGACCTGAGAAACACAAACTGCATGCCGTGTGTCTGTCTCACAGTCCCTGAACCACATTATTTTCCCTACTGCCAAGCCCTATCTGTAATGCTAAAGCCCTAAATAAAGCAAGTCGAGATTTCCTCAGGTTCTGAATCTCTGGTCTCCCTTGGGATCCTTTTCAATTTAAATGGGCTTGTTTGTTACTATCAAAATTATATATATATTCACACTAAGCGTTAGTCTAGCCGGGTATGTACTAGGCCCTTCCAACCGCCCAGACAAGCCAAACACAAACTGTATGCCGTGTGTGTACTAGGGCCTTCCGGGCGCCCAGACCAGCCAAACACAAACTGCGTGCAACAAAGACTTCCATGAAGATAGGACACCGTTGATAATAAACTTTTCGGCAATCGACTCTACGCGTCCATGACATGACTGTATGTAATGTGTTATTCTGAAGTTTTTCAATTGTTCAGAGCTTTTACTACTAAGGACCTAAGTCTGCTCATCATATCTGCTCAGTAACGTCCTACATCCTTTTTGTAACGACATTCTCCTCGATATACAGCACAATGTATGTGTATCATTTAACATGTTTAGTCGCCGTAGTTCGTGTTTACGTACTGTCACGACTGAGTGCCAATAATTGCGTTGTACATATCTACCGTATGGCCATTTACAATGTAGATGTCTTCGACACTACACATCATAATGTACGTGTCTGCTGAAGAATACACTTGACTCGTGTTTGACCTTGATACAAAGTAATTGGTTGGGATAGGATTGGAGTAATCGTGTTCCACTGGTTGCTTGAGTGAGAGAGTGAGTTTGGTTTTACGCCGCTTTTAGCAATATTCCAGCAATATCACGGCTGGGGACACCAGAAATGGGCGTCACACAATGGACTGGTTGCTTGAAGTTGTAACCGACTCATAGTGATACACTTCTAATACCCTGGCTGTTCTGGTGGCGTCCTGATGTTTCACTTGAATAAAAACAGTTGGACGGTGTTTTGATGGATTCATCTTGTGTCGCGCAAGACAAGCTGGTAGGCTGAAGGTGTGATAAAGTCCCCTTTCTTCACTACAATACATTGTGGTTTGCCTACCCTCACTATTGAAATAACTTCCACTACACTGGCCACATCACCAAATCTTAATTAACTTTTTTCACACTGATCCCACCCTCACTTCTTAAAAAACATGCTTTCCCACAGTCCCGATTAAAATAAATAAAAGGCCATGATTAACCACAGTTCCACACTACTTACCTTACATCAGGGACCATCTTTACCCACACTTCTACACTACTTACCTTACATCAGGGACCATCCTTACCCACACTTCTACACTGGTTGGCTTACGTCAGGGACCATCCTCACCCACAGTTCCAAACTGGTTACCTTACATCAGGGACCATCCTTACCCACAGTTCCAAACTGGTTATCTTACGTCAGGGGCAATCCTTACCCACAGTTCTACACTGGTTACCTTACATCAGGGACCATCCTTACCAACAGTTCCACACTGGTTACCTTATATTGAGAACCATCCTTACCCACAGTTCCACACTTGTTACCTTACATCAGGGACCATCCTTACCCACAGTTCCACACTGGCTGGCTTACATCAGGGACCAGCCTTACCCACAGTTCTACACTGGCTGGCTAACATCCGGGACCATCCTTACCCACAGTTTTACACTGGCTGGCTTACATCAGGGAAAATTGCCAAGCCACACTTCTACACTGGTTGGCTTAAGTCAGGGACCTTCCTTATCCACAGTTCCACACTGGCTGACTTACATCAGGGACCATCCTTACCCACAGTTCTACACTGGTTACCTTACATCAGGGACCATCCTTATCCACAGTTCTACACTGGTTCCCTTACATCAGGGCCCATCCTTACCCACAGTTCCACACTGGTTGGCTTACGTCAGAGACCATCTTCACCCACAATTCACACAGGATGGCTTACATCAGGGTCATCACAGGCTTGTTTGCTTACATCAGGGACCATTCCACACACAGGATGGCTTACATCAAGGGCCATCCTTACCCACAGTTCTAAACTTGTTTGCTTACATCAGGGACCATTCTTACCCACAATTCCACACTGGTTGGCTTACGTCAATGACCATCCTTACCCACAGTTCCACACTGTTACCTTACATCAGGGACCATTCTTACCCACAATTCCACACTGACGGACTTACATCAGGGACCATCCTTACCCACAGTTCTACACTGGTTCCCTTACATCAGGGCCCATCCTTACCCACAGTTCCACACTGGTTGGCTTACGTCAGGGACCATCTTTACCCACAATTCCACACAGGATGGCTTACATCAAGGGCCATCCTTACCCACAGTTCAACACTGGTTATCTTACGCCAGGGACCATCCTTACCCACAGTTCCACACTGGTTACCTTACATCATGGGCCATCCTTACCCACACTTCTACACTGGTTGGCTTACGTCAGGGACCATGCTTACCCAAAGTTCTACACTGGTTACCTTACACCAGGGACCATCCTTCCCCACAGTTCCACACTGGTTACCTTATATTGAGAACCATCCTTACCCACACAATTTCCACACAGGATGGCTTACATCAGGGACCATCCTTACCCACAGTTCTACACTGGTTGGCCTACGTCAGGGACCATTCTTACCCACAGTTCCATACTGACTGACTTACATCAGGGACCATCCTTACCTACAGTTCTACACTGGTTGGCTTACATCAAAGACCATCCATACCCACAGCTCCACACATTCAAGTTGGCTTACATCAACACTGGACCATCCTACGCCAGGGACCATCCTTACCCACAGTTCCACACTGGTTGGCTTACATCAAGGACCATCCTTACCCACAGTTCCACACTGGTTGGCTTACGCTGGGGACCATCCTTACCCACAGTTCTACTCTGGTTGACTTACGTCAGGGCTCATCCTTACCAACAGTTCTAAACTTGTTTGCTTACATCAGGGACCATTCTTACCCACAGTTCTACACTGGTTGGCTTACATCAAAGACCATCCTTACCCACAGTTCCACACTGGTTGGCTTGCATTAACAACCATCCTCACCCACAGTTCAACACTGGTTGGCTTACGTCATCCTTACGACCATCTTTACCCACAGTTCAACACTGGTTGGCTTACATCAACGACCATCCTCACCAACAGTTCTACTCTGGTTGGCTTACGTCAGGGAACCATCCTTACCCACAGTACCACACTGTTACCTTACATCAGGGACCATCCTTACCCACAGTTCCACACTGGCTGGCTAACATCAGGGACCATCCTTACCCACAGTTCTACACTGGCTGGCTTACATCCGGGACCATCCTTACCCACAGTTTTACACTGGCTGG